TTCTTTATCACTTTTTCTTCTTCTACATAACTGAACTCAGTCAGGCCGAACTCTAAGGCAGACCTGAATTATAACAACAAGCAACTCATCAAGCATCAGCTTGTCCTGCATTATCAATCCCCCCAAGTTAGGATACTCAATGAAAGGAACCCATGCAAGGAAAGGTTGGTCAAGGACTTATTTATCAAAAAAGGGGGAGGTCCCAATTGCATAAGAAAGGTTCTCTGTTATGTCTCACACTCTCACCAGATGCTCCACAAGTCAACCTGGATTCTGGGCATGTGAACTGTTTTTTTTTTCAGATAATATAACACCTTTTGGAAAGAATCATTTAAATGTGAATCCTGAATGTTTGACAAGGGATTTAGAATCTCAGATTGCTAATCCCATGTAAGCTCTCTGGGATTTGTTTTGTTTGGATGTAGGTAGAATCAGCCAACAGAAGTAAAATTATTATTTCTCCATCTACCTTTGCTTGCCCAACAAAAAGAGGGAGCAGAATGTGGAAATGTTCCAAAGCAGCCACCCTATGGACAATTTGGAAAGAAAGAAATGCTAGAATTTTCCAAGATAAAGAGAGATCCTTTACAGAAGTGAAGGAATGTATTTTAACTAGGGCTATCAACTGGCTGAAATCCTTGGCTTCTTTCAACTCATTCTCATTTGATGACATTTGGAGGAATTGAGCTGCAGTTGCACACACTTCGGCTAGGAAAACAAAAGCAGCAACAGTTTGGGTAACTCCTCCGGAAGGGGTTATTAAACTGAATTTTGACGGAAGCAGTCCGGGTAACTCAGGACCATCAGGCATAGGAGGAGTTCTGAGGAATGAGAATGGCAACATCATGTCCTTATTCTCAGGCCCGGTGGGGATAGGGAATTCAACAAGAGCTGAGTTGTTGGCTGCAGTACAAGAAATTCAGATTGCTAATCAACCAGGAGTGGAGAACCTATTAATTGAAGAGGATTCTAAGGTGATTGTGGGCTGGTTGTCAAATCCAGACTCAGTTGTTTGGAGTTATAAGGATCACATCAAAAAAGTTAAATGTTTAACAAGACACATAACGTGCAGATACCAGTCAGTGGGTAGGGTGGAGGCAAATGCTTTGGCTGATTATCTTGCCAAACAGGGGTCTGCTAGGGATCGGTTATTTTGGGCAGCTTTGTAATCTTTATTTCTGGCCACTTGTAATGTTTAGGGGAGGCTGCATCTCATGCCTCTCCAAGGGATGCTTGTAAAGCTTTATTCTTCTTGATTAATGAAATAAATTTTTAATTATCAAAAAAAAATATCACATTACTTGTACTCTTGAGTTTGAGTTTTCATGAATTCAAAAACATTTAGAAGGTGGTCAGGAATACAAAATTGAGAACATGTGCTTACCTCCAGTAGAAACAAGACCACCAATTTTCCTCACAGTTTAAACCCTTAAAGTTTGTTCTCCTTTGACCAATTGGAGATATTAGTGCAGGTGTCATAGGCCAGGCCGGGCCAGGGTCCAGGCCTATGACTTTATATATAAAATATTGTTTTTATATTATATGACATATAATATGTTTAAATTTTATGTTATACATTATATAATATAATATATTATAAATTATATTTTATACACCTCTCCTCTTTCCTTTTTTTTTTTAATATTTACGTATTCTTCTGGACCTTCTCTTTTAGTAATCTCTTAATAATTTGTTTAGGCAAAATGCAGGTGGATAGATAGAGGTATGTAAAGAATAACATTAAATATAGACATTATGTCATGCATAAAAGATAATATGCTTGGAAAATATTGTAGGATGCAAATTATCCAAAAAACAATATAGTGGCTGCAAATTTAATTTTCATATGATGATAGAACTCACATGCTAGAGTAGACAAACCATCAATTACCTGACTCAAAAGTTTTGGCTTGTCATCTGATGAAAATGTGATTTCATGCATCGGCCTACATGATTTTCAAATGTATAAAAAGATGAATTTCATAGTCTTTCACAAAGTAGCATTGCAATATTTAAGCAAGAACAGAAATTTTAGAAGTAGCACCATTCAATAAAAGGCTAAAACCTCACAAAATAAAGTTAAATATTTCAGTCAACTAATAATTGCACCTGAACAAAATTACAACTCAGCTGCAATAGAAAAGAAACATAGTGATAATCACACACACACAAGGCCATTATCCAAAGTTGGTCCATGCTAATGGTGTCTTGCATGAAGATAACCTATGCCATTTTTTACATGAAGTCTTTGTTCTCAGAATGAAAACCATGTTCACATTCTTGTCAGCCCAAGGTTTTACCCTATGGACCAAGTAATGGCCCCTAAATTGTTGAATGAGTGAAGAAAAGAATCATCTTGCATTCGAAACATAAGAGTAAGTCCATAGCTAGCTAAACAATAAATAAAGGAGGTAGAAAAGATTATTTGTAATTTATGCATCATAGAGATAGTATATTAAACTGGCTAAATGTAGAGAAATCCAGGAAATCCATCGGCAATGGCAATTTAATGTTTAAAATAAGCACATTTAATGTTTAAACTTTAAACTTTACCAGATGCAAAGCAAATTTAATGTTTAAAATAAGTACAAACAAATCCATTTGCAATGTATAGGAGTTCCATGTTCTTTTTCCACAATAAGCAAAACATTTTATGTAAGTATATGGATCTACAAGTCAAAAAGGCATTAGGTTGCATGTATTTACGGTATACACCCTCTATGCCCAATATAGCAGACCAATTAAAAACAAAATACCTTCTTTTGAGCAGCCCAAAATCATGCTGAAAATACTAGCATCAGCAAAATCTAACTATCCTTTACATTGACCAAAGACAACCTGTAAAGAGGAGTTAGGCAGCACACCCAACCCTAAAGCCCCATTACGATATGACATTTTCCTTGAAATTAATTAAAATTAGAGAATAATTCACACAACTTGGAATTAAGATAAGTAAAATAAACATTTAATACAAACAATAGTGCACCTACCCAGATCGATGAAGAGAGGGATCTATATAACTTTACAGGGTGATGTTCTGCTGATTTAGAGGACGGAGGACCTGAAATCCTTCAAGGCCAATAATTTTGGATCCGTCTCTCGGTTGGAGAGCAAAATCCTTAGGGTACAATCATTTTACAATCCCTCTGGATTTTTTTTATAGGAGCTGAAAATTTATGTAATCTTGTTTTCCCTTTTACTTGATCCAAACACAGCACAAAACAACTTAATAAACAAAAAAATAAAGGTTTCAAACTACAGATTCAATGTAAATTTCACTCTATATGGAAGCAGAATTAATTTGTGGAAGTTTATAGAAGCTCACAGAAACATTCTAAAATAATGGAACTTATGAAAGTTAAAAATCTTTAATCAACATTCAGAGAAATAGTTTATAGCCATGATCATAAGCTAATGCATTTTCTTTTTTTATCAATAACTGAAATTCATTAATAAATTAGAAAAATGGAAGATATAACAAAAGGAGGAGATAAACTCCCTTAACTCCCCCAGATAAATGGAAAAAAATTACAATATATCCCAGAAATTAGTATTTCTTCCCACCCCTTGTTTTGCAAAAGCATCAGCCATACAGTCAGCATCCCTCTTAAACCAATTCAGCTCGATTTCCATTCCTTTTGTCAAATGTCTAAATTTCCTTTTTTTTCATCCACAGAACTCCACCACCCCCTTTCCTCCTCTTTCTGGAGCCAGCTAATAACCAACTTAGAAATTAGAATCCCCCTCAATTAGCACCTTACTAAGGTTAAGCTCTTTGGCTCTTTTAACACCTTCCAGCACAACAAGGATTTCCGCTCTCAATGAATCCTCAACACCAATGGGAGCAGAGAAAAGAGCCACAATTTTGCTATCCTAATCCCCAAAAACATCTTCAATACCTAAGGGTCCAGGATTTCCTTCACTGCTGCCATCAAAATTCAGCTTGATGAAACTATTAGCAGGGAGAGACCAAGTAGGCACAACTAACTCTTTCTAAGGCTCAAAGTCAGCCACTTCTCTCCGCTTCCTAATCAAATCAGCAGCAGGGATTCCGCCAAAATATTTAAAGTTTTCACCCAGTGGATCACCCTAACTGTAATGGCTTCAATTAGAGCATCTTTACTTCTTTCTTTGCCTTCAAACAACCTCTGATTTCTCTCTTTCCAAACATACCAGCAAAGAGCAGCCCTTGAACATCTCCATAAAATTTCCCCCCTCATCTTCTGCCAACTAACAAAGGTAGGATCAAACAGCCTTTGAACATTTGGCGGGGGAATCCACCTCCAACCAAGCAAGGAAGAACACCATTCCCAAATTGACAATGTAAGGGGACAAGAGATTAATAAGTGATGAGTGGACATCCCATTAGCTTTACAAAGGATACACCAGTGGGGACAAGCAACAATTAGGTCTTTTCCTTTGTAGAAACTCACAAGTATTAATTCTATCCAAAAAAAAAAATCCCAGCAAAAACCCCCAACCTTATACAGAATAGGCTTACCCCAAACCTCTTTAACCAAAAAAGGTCAGCCCCCAATATCTACTGGTCTCATTAAGGATAGAAAGAAAGAAGCACAAGTGAAGTCACATGAAGGGGAGAGAGTCCAAACCCGACAGGTAGGTAGGGTATTGCATTTTCTACCACAAATAAATAAATACAAACATGTTTTCCTCATTTGAGATTTTCAAATATTTTTGTTCTCACCTATTTGTTTTCTTAAGTTTAAGATAAGACCTTTCCCATTTTTATTATTTTATACAATGTCACTTCTATCTCCATTATGTTTTTTAAAATTTTTTTTATCAATAATTGGAATTCATTAGATTAAAAGAATTTAGTTACAGCGCTCCAAAGAGAGATAAACAGGTTTAACTCTCTCCAGGAAGACAACAAAAATTTCTATCTTCATTATGTTTTTTAAAAACTTTATTGCCACACTTTCATGTTTTGACCAAAATCAGGTATTTTTATGTTATGGTGTAACGTTTCAGTTTGAACAATCAAAATTTACTGAAATTTTGACCAAAATTTCAACCTGGTAAATTTTATTTCAGTTTCCATGGAAACATTCAGTTTGAGAGGAAGTTTAAACCATACAAAAAGAGGAATAGGCATGAAGTTCAAAATATATAACCCAAGAAAACAACCAAATAAGGACAACTCATTTCCAGATATCATACGACCAATTAGCAACCTTAAAAAAACGCCTAACATAATTCTCTCAGCATTATTTAGGGAATTTCCTGAATGAGATAATTTTTTTCTGCAGAAAAACTTTCAGCAAGTATTTACCGAGGAATAAGTGGATTGGCATGCACAGAACTATCTCCATCTTCAATATTTGATCTTTGGGCTTCAAGTGCAAGAGCTTCAAGATTAGGCGAGGAACCAAATGCAGGTGGCGGATGAATGCTAAATAATCAACAAGGAGATAAATCATAACATGATCAATGAACAGTAAAGAGAAATACAAAGGACATAAAAGGAAGATGATGACAAAATGCATTCTTAAACGTGTCTGTAGAAAGGAACACATGATTTGAGGAAATATGCAGAAAAATAGAACAAAGAGTCTACATTAGATTACAAATGAAAAACAAAAATAAATAAATACCTTTGCCTCATATGAAAATTAGAACTTTGAGCATCTTCTTTCATTGATGAGTCTACTGAATTTCCATCAGAGAGAGGAGGAACCTGCATAAGAAAGAGAGTAGCAATTACATATTTGGTCACTACACTTAGAATGAATTTAAAATAGCATAATGGGAAAACCTTCATTATAAGCAATTAAACAATTAAAAAGAAGTTCAAAAAGATTGAAGTTTTCCATCAACTTGCAAGTGCTTGGATCATTTCTTACCGATTCATCCCATGTTTTTTTCCTCTTTTTTATCTTTTTTTTATAAGAGTTTCCTCGTTTTTATCTTTCCATTGCTCTACTTGAAAACAAACAAATGGAACTACTAGCTAATAAGATAGGGAACATTTTCCTCAAGTTCTATATGAACTAAACATCCCCCACTAAAGGGAAGCAATTGAGAGTGAATTTTATGTTTGCTAGTGTCAAGAAGGTATGGTGGTCATATCAAAGGTACAGTGAGTCAGGAACAACTTAACCAAGGGTCACTTGGGGTGTGTGAAGAAAAATAAGAAAGCTTCTTTTTAAGGTTCAAAATACTGGTAATTATGACTGCCATAAAGGAGGTGCTCCACTTCTGCTTTCAGTTGGAACTTGGAAGCTTTTCCTATAAGAATTAGGTCAAGGGTAAAATACTAAAATCTCCAACCATGAAAGTGAACCATAAGGGTATGCCAAATATCAATTTGAGCAAAGCCCTTCAACATTCAAGTTCACTCCTGAGGAGCCATAATACATTTAAGAAGATCATATTTACTTTGGTATATGGAATGGAGGTGCCAAGGATTCAAGCTTCCAAAGGTGTATGGCATGTCAAACGACAAAACTCATGACACTGAGACATGGTGATATGCAAAACTTAATTACAGGTAACTCAAAAACGTATTAGAAACTTTTTTCGTGATATATTTTTTGTTTACATGTGCTAAGTGCAAAGGTTTTATGCTGATTTGAGCTTGGAGAATCATCAAGATGCTACAAGAAGTTCAATGCCAAGTGTTGGCACAGTATCCAAGAGACAGCATGGCTAGATCCTCTAGTTCCAAAAAGTCCAGGTGACAAAGTAGAAGACATTGCACTACAAACCTAAAAACCAATAGAAAATAAAATGAACGCAAGTAGGCAACCAAAGGAATAAATGCCAAGCCAAAGAAACTTGACATTTTCCCTTTCCTCTATTGAATGAATAGGCAGGCAGCTCAAGCTATCAGTAAATAATCATGGGGCAATACATTATTACATGTTAAAACCTGCATTAGAAACAACTATTATATAACGAGCCCCCGTTGATTGAGTAGTCCATTTGCATGCTAACTAAGGGAGCAATACACCATGTGACAAGAAGGTAAGTGGGATACACCAATAAATTGGAGAAATAGTTACACCTGCACAAGACGGACATCAAATACAGGTCTAGTGGGGTTGTCTTGTGCCAGCCGCAGCAACCTCTTGTGCGTCAGAACATCTTCTGCCCTCTCAGCATTCACATCCATTGCATACCTACAATGCAGCAATGAAATCCTCAAGACAAGCACAAAGTATTAAACTTGCAATAAAAAAACGAAGTGTTTCCCACTGTATAACGGCAAACCACAATAGAAATGATCACAGTGCATAACATCGGAAAATCTAATCAACAGGATGAAGATAACCGAAAAAACACAATGGAGTGAATTTGCTCCGTTCTACGACTCCGTATTTTAGTCCAAAAGCTCTAAAAGTCAAGAATTTGATAGTCTGACTACAATGTAGAGAATCCCAGCAAGCAGCACACCAGGAACATAATTTTAAATGAAAGCACAAACAATAAAACGAGAATCAGTCCACATAATATCAAAAAAGACACTTAGACCACAAGATTTCACAAGCAATCCTTCGATGACCAGATTCGTAGATACTGATAAAGCAAAAGCACGATCAATACAATTAGAAGAACACTTGGAAGAAAACAAGAGAGAAACAAAATAAGAATTAAGCGAAATAATACTTAGGGTTACAAGTTACAACAGGTACCTAGCGGGCAGTCGATTAAAATGGTTCCAAAGGTCATCTTCAAAATTAGGAGCATTTGCCTCCTCGTTATTGGATTCTCTGAGTCTACGAAGCACCTCGTTATAAATCTCAAGCTTCTGTCTTTGCTGACGAGGATGCGTGGGCGAAGAGTCCACCGTTCTGCTACTGCAACTCTCGGTATCATCCATCGCCATTAGCAAACTCAAAAGAAATCAACTAATCAAAGCAAAACACGGACGACAATCGCCGAGACGAAGAAGAACAAGTTGAAAAAAGAAGAAAAAAAATCAGTCGCTTCGAGATCCAAAACTGTCTCTATGCACGCGAAGGAACAAAAGCAGCAAACGACGATATCTCATGGTTGAAGATCAAAATAGGAATGGCCAGCGAGACAGAAATCACGACGAGGAACGGTGTGAAAATATATGAGCATTAAAGAAGGAAAGTCTCTTTTTAAATAAAAGTTGCAATATATGGAGCCCTTCTTTGGAGTCATTCCTTAATTAACAAAGATTTACCCATTATTTTACTCTCTCTCTCTCTCTCCTTGCCGCTTGCCTTTTTCATGAGAAAATTTAACTAATAAAAAATTAAAAAAGATTAAGCAAATGGAAACAACGGCGGTGGCCCTTTTGGTGGCTTCACCCCCTCTTGCTCTCTTGCGTCTCTCTCTCTCTAGTTTGCCTTTAGGGGAATGCTTAACGGCGTAGTGCGCACTGCGCAGGCACCCATGTTGACGAGGAATTGATGGATCCTACTGATGCGCAGTGCCCCCACTCCTTTGCTTATTATTTCCCAGTTATTTATTTATTTAATAAAATCTGATTTATGTAATACCTCTAATTAATCGGTGATGCCATCTCCCACCACCACCACTTACCACCTTCTCCTTTATCCAATGCGGTCTCATCTTTCCCCAACTCCCACTCAACCGTATATAATAATAATAATGAATAAATAAATATTTGTGTAAAAGAGAAAAAAAACGCTTTTAGAATTGCTGAATCGGGGCAAGCAGGGAACTTCCTTGCACGAACCTATCTGTCGCTGAATTACGAATATAGCAAACGGATCTTGTGGCCGATCCAGACCGTTGATCAAATAAAAGATGCTTGGAAATGGCCACGTGTTCGGTCCCACGTAAGCTGGCTTATAAGGTTGAGAATGGGTGGCACCATGGTACAAGTCGAGAAGAGCGTGAAAACTTTAGCCCGTGGTCTCTTCTAGACTGTATTGAAAAGGAAAGAAAAGGGGGGAGTGGAAGAGATGGTGCTGGGAGTGTTGGATTTACTTTTCAGGGCTCATCCATTTCGAATGGACCTTTCATTGATGTGTTTTCCTTCTTCTTTGGTTGTTGAATATGAATTGAATCCGCTGCAGCACCTGGAAGATAAAAATTTTACTTCCTACCTATCAGGAATAGACACGTATAGAGACCAGGTTATCTCGATTTCAGTGTGAGACTCCTGCTTGGATGACCCAGATGTCCTTATCAAGCACGGCGTGTGTGGCTGATGTTACATCATAGAGCTATACTACAGTGCAACTCAATTACAAACTAGTTTAGTAGTCCGGATTGATTAGGTATGATCAAGCCAAAAGGGACTCACCAGATAATTGTTGATTGAAAATGGTATAAGTAATAAGATAGACTGATAGAGAGAGACACCTCTAAGAAAAAGATCATGTAATGTAATTAAGATACTACAAATGGGATACGGATAAGATATATTGGTTGTTGGATAAACCCCCAAATCCAAACATTCTGGAAAATACTACAAATGGGATACGGATAAGATCGATATATTTCTCGGCGGTTGTAGTTTGTACGTTGTAAACTTGTAATTAATCATGTAGCTAGCTTAGCTTAGCTAGTTTAGTTCAGTTCAGTATATATAGGAGCATAGAATGAGTTGGTGAGAGATCATGTAATGTAAGAATGACTAAACATTTATTAAATAAGAGAGTGGAGAGTGTCAGAGTGTGAAGGAACCTCTTACCTCTCAACCTGAGAAGGAAGGAAAACGAAAATCAATTAGGAGGCACGTGGTATGTATGCCGCAAGAAAAGTAGATGCGTATGTTGATGGGGTTGGGAATGCCAGATGCATCTTTACAGATGGATACGCATATGCAGTAGTAGTAGGAGTAGTAGGAGGGATGGCTGGATGGGGTCCATGGGGATGGACTCATTCAAATTCATGTGGTAGGGCAAGGGAAGGAATCGTCGGAGCTAATCTGAAAAGAGATGACGTGGAGTAGACGTGGAAAAATCTTAGGTGGCGAAAACAAGTGCGGACTTTTTAATGTGGCTAAGCGATTCTGGTGGGTGCGTAAGTTGTGCTTATCATCGGAACCCGAGGGAGGGAGGAGATGCACGTTGACAGCTAGGCTCTTCGTAAGCGGCGATTCGTCGCCGCTGGAATAGCCGGTGGAATAAATTTCTAAATCTTATCCAGAACCTCGGTACTATCCTTTTGCTAATTAATTTAGTAATAATAAAAAGGAATAAACAGCGATGAAAATGGTAAAATAAGCGTCCAATTGGGGCCGGCCAAGTCAAATTAACGTGGAATCTGCAGAAGAAGATTAGAATTAGTTTGGTGCCCAACTCCTTGATTAAAACTCTCTCTCTCTCTCTGCAGCCCACGTGCAGCAGAAGGCAATAGCCATATATCTTTTAGTTTTATGAAGAAATGCAAATAGTCCCAAAACTTTTTGTCCTCCATCATCCAACTGCTCGTCACCGTCTACTCGGAGCAACGAGAACGACGTTGGCGACGGCGAGGATCTTGAATTTATACTTTATATTGTCTGGAAATAAGTCTGATTCCTCATTTTGGATGGCAATGCTATTGTTCTCTGAATAGGATCTTATTTATTCGAGAGTACAATTTATTATTCGCGTCTTTCACTGATTGCTACCAACAGCTTCCTTCTGATTTGATCAGAAGTAGCCAGAACAAAGTTTAACAACTACACAAATTCGGTTCATTACCTGGAGAAAAGGACTCAAACGGATCCAATAAAAGTAGATCCACAAGCAGAAAGCACTGAAACATTTTATTTTCTAGTTTATTTTTCATTGCTCCTCATATGAGTATAGATCAAAAGGCACCCACCGCCCTGGTCTAGGCTACTTGAGCGCTCATCAACCACGAATGCAGTTGGAGGTAATCAAATAAAGTTTTGGTATACGAAATGTAAAAAATGTTTGAGAAGAATGTCTATCAAAAAATGCACCAGAACAGCTTGCAAACAACGACTTTTCCTCTATTTGAACTTTGTTTTCTTCTTATTACCAAAAAATTTTGAAAACTCAGATGAAAGAGCACTTCAAACTCTGGCCAATTTATCTCTTTTTCTCCAAGACTCCAATTCCGACCAAGTTCCCTCGTCTCCCAACTCCGACCAAACCCCTTCTTTAGTTTTGGGTAATCTACTTAATTAATACCCTAACAAATCCCAAATTGCTCGGATCCCTTCTTATTACTCCCAAACTTTTGTTTTGTTTTTTTTATAAGAACAACATAAGTAAAATAATAATAATAATAATAATTTGTCAACTCAAGTTTGGGTGTTTGATCGAGTAATTATGGACCATATGCAATTTTTTTTTTTAATTTTAATGCGTTTAACTTATGCCTTTAAAGTATAGTCACACCCAAACGTCAATGTCCATATTTAAGGTTGTCTATTCATGGTTAAAGTATGGATACATCCAAATGCATCACCAGGTGTTTATCCATACTTTTTTACTCCATGCGTTTTATTTTTAATTTCTTCTCAAAATTTTATTATATATTTTTATATTATTTATATTTAATAAATAAAAGATGTGGTTTATGAAAACATCTTTAAATAATTGTGTTGGAAATCCAACAATACGATACACTCAATATATGGCGTATCATATTGATATTTTGAATCTTTGGTCTATTATTAGTTCTTATCCCACCGAATCTATCTAATTTATACCCATGTTTTGTTAGAGAGAATCAAAAGAGTTTCAAAAATATTTAATAGGAAATAAGGGATTTAATAGAGTAGGGGAGATATTACAAACATTGATTATTGAAAAGAGAGAGGGGGATTAAAAACAATTTTATTAGAAAAGAGTAATGATAGATTTTAACATAGCAATTTAAAACCTAGAAAGGTTTATGAGGAGACATAAGAGGGTTTTTAATATTTCGAATGTGTGAAGAAGAAGAGAAGGGGAGACTATGTATGAGAATGTGGTGAAACACCCTTGGGTCTTGGCCTCCACACACTCCTCTTTCAATCGTATACTAGTAAGTAGTAGTGACCACTGCAATGCATGGGTTGTTCTTTAAAAATTTAGGCCCTGTTTGGATATATTTTTATAAAGTACTTTCATACTTTTGAAAATACAAGAGTATGAAAAGTACGATATAGTGTTTTTTTGTATTGTATACTTTGTGCTTCTACTTTTATACTTTTTAAAAGTACAAAAACCCCAAAAAGCATGAAGTCGGTTTTTTATACTTTGTGCTTTTGGTGAAATTGCACTTTCGTTTTTGTGCAAAGGGGTGGTCATGTGTAACCACCTTCCGATACAACTCTTGGTCCTACCTCTATTCACCACTATTGGAGATACACCGCCATTGTTGGTCTCAACCACTAGGAGTGGCCACGAGTCAAGCTCTTCATGAACTATTCGAGTTCAGCTTGTGAAAAGCTCAGCTTAGCTTGGTTTCAACCAAGCTTCGAGTCGAGCTCAAGCCTAATAAAGCTCGGTTCATGAGACTCACGAGCCGAGCTCGAATAGCTACATATAATAATAATAATAATAATAATAATAATAATAATAATAATAATAATAATAATAATAATATAATTATTATTATAGAAAATAATATATAATAAAAATAATATATATAATATTTTTATTTTATATATAATAATAACTTAAATATTATATTTCTTAATTTTTTAAATATCAAATAAAAAATATTTTTATATAATTTTTTATTTTTATTAAAATATTTTTCTCAAGTCGAGCTCAAGCTCGATCTCGATCCTTGTACTATCTTGGTGAGTCGAGCTCGAATATCTAACTATTTGGCTCGGCTCGTCTCGAATCCACCCCTATCAGCCACCAAACCACCTGAAACCGTCACCGGAAGTACAGACGGACGTGCTTTTACCAAACAGGAAATGGTTCTTTTATTCTGGAAAGCATGCTTTACAAAATGTTTAACCTAAACGGTTTTCAAAGCAAAATCATCAAAGTAAAAACATTTTTTGTACTTTACACTTTGGTACTATTAAAAGTACAAAAGTATAAGTCTACCCAAACAATGCCTTAATTTGTAAGTTAAGAACATAAAGTAACAATGATTCACCAATGTTTTTATATATTTCTAGCACTTTATATAAAAAAGAGTAGAAAAAATAATTTTTTTCTTTTTTAGTTATTGAGATTCAAACTTATTCCTTTTTATATGGCTTATATATTATGAGCACGTAAACCAACTGCTTAGCATGAGAAAAAAATTGATAGTGGCACAATTGGGGAGTTAAGGGTTTGAGGGATGTGCTACCCCTATAAATCCAAAAGAAAATGTATTGAACATAAACCAATTA